AGTGTGAAGCAGAGGACTCATTTGCTCAGATAGGAAAGAAGAAACCGAATAGGAGAATGGAAAAATGGTCATTCATTTAATGAGTAGAAGTGCATTTTTTTAAGATAAGACTTAGAAGAAGTAAATTTTAGGTGGTAGTCATGCACTCTGTAGGTGAGTTGTTCTGTGTTGTCTCATCAGGTTATGTAATCGAGTCCTAAAGAAGGATCAGACTTGCTCACAGGTATATATTACTCATTTCAATCTTGATCTTATCCAATGCTGAGGCATGATCGTTTTTTTTCCCCCCACCAATTTCATAACTTGTTCTTGGGTGGTAGAAATTGAACTTTGTTACTCTTGTTTCACTTTGTACTAATCATCCTCAGCCAGGACTCTGCCTTAGGCGTTCCCTTCATTCAGGTACATTTAATGTCACGTTACTGAGTAGAGCTAACTCCTAGTCTCCACAATATATATGACAAGACCAGACTAAAATGATTTTTAAATGCAGCTGCTACTTCAAAGTTCATGGCCTGTTATCGTGCTTACAGTAACTTTGTTCCTACATCAAGTAAAAAATGTGTTAAATGGACAGGAATTAGCTGTATCTTTGGAAGACTTCAGTTTAAAAGGAAAAATCAAGTTACTGTTCATTACCTCAGTACCAGAGAATTGATTTAGATTTCTGTGAAACTGAGCCATGTTGGCTGCAAACAGGAATTTGTTCTTGGAAGGATAACAACAGCTAGTCTGTTACCCTTATTTACACTGTAAAAGGTACGTAGGAAAGGAGAGGGAATCACATCCAGTGTGCACCCCATGTAATTAAAACATGAAAATAACTGCTGGTTTGGCCTTTCTAAACAAATGTTAGGGCAAATATTTAAAACTAAGAAGAGCCAAGCCAAGGTTGCAAAAGTCTTTACTGTCAAAAAACTGTGTGTGTGAATTAAGTTTGCCTGAGTTTTAGAAATTTCTCTGTGCCCTTACTGGCTGAGAGAATTCATACCTGTGGGCTGTTACCTCTGCTTCTATTCAAGCACTCCATGATTTCAGTGATGCACATTTCAGAGGTGCTTAAAATCAGTGTGAATTTCAGGCTGATTCTCAAAGGCTGATTCTTGGCACATTTGTGGTTGCACTTTTGTCAGTGTCTTTAAATATGCCTTTTCCAACTTCATTAATACTTCCTGTGTATTCTGCATCAGGCAAAGAATTGGACACAGAAATACACAAACAACAGAACTTTTTGTTTGATATTATCCCTAAGAGAAGATGAAAAGAAAGAATGAGAGTAAGCAAGGAAGACACAGATTGCAGGAACTTCTTGCATCCAGATAAAGGCATGTATGAATGATGAAGAATCTTAGTAAAAGCAACTGAATTAAGTTTGCTGACAGGCTGTCTTGGCATTCTAAACCATCTCCAAAGCATAGCCCTGTTCAGCTGGAGAGGTCAGATTCACCAAGGGCCTTCTATTTGTTTTGTAGACCTTTATCTCAGGAATGGATGTCTTGAGAACTAATGTGGAGTGGGTGTGTATGTGTATCTCTATTCTTCAATAGATATTTGTATGTATGTAGAAGTAAAGAAAGAGATTTTGAAGAGGGAGTGGAAATAGAGCATCTGCAGGAAGAATTATATGAGGTCTGCTCCAAAAGTAATGCCTCCTGCTTTGTTATGTTGGCCCACAACATGAGAGGAAGATGTTGGTGGTATGGGAGTAGAGGCTGAACCTTCCCAACAACATCCCATTACATTTAGTTGCCTTGTGACAGATGGCAGCAGATGGGCAGTCTGACAAAGTGGTGTCTGACATAGATGACATATATGAAGCAAAAGATTTGTCATTGAATTCCTCTGTATGGAAGAAGAATTGCACTTATTGACATTCATCGATACTTGCTGAACATTTCTGAAGACCAAACAGTGGATGTGAGCAGTGAGGTGGTGCTTTCAGCAGTGGTGACAGTGCCAGTGTGTCACTTCTGCTGGTGCAGATGTTTATGAGCACGATATATATGCTGTTACTCATTGCTAGCAAAAAATGCATAGCTAATGGTGGTGACTGTGTTGAAAAACAGTGTTTTGTAGCTGAGAATATGCTCTATCATGTAGTGTTATTGTGTGCTCTTTGTTGTAGTTTTCATGGGAATAAATAGGAGGCATTACTTTCAGAGTGACTTATGTATTTCTTCGCATACCTCTTCTTTTTTTCCTGATTCAAAATATTTGTGGGGGGGAGGAGAGGGCTCTAAAGGTATCTGAAGACATTTTGGCCAGTATTCCTTTTTATAGTTATATTTTTAGACTAGCTCCTTGCTTAAATATTTACTTGTTAATGCAAGTAAAGAGAATAGAACCTATTTTCAGGCAAATTGCCTTGACTGCGTCTCAGATGACATTTCCAGCCCCACTGTGCAAAGTTCAGGATGTTCTGGCACACAGGGAGAGATCTGGAAGGTTGTTAAGGAGTATGCCACTTGTGTTAAATGCTACCAGGGATCCCTAGGCTATTGCTGAAACGTTTGCTTACCTTATTCTTTAGAAAAAATTCCTTAGCTTCCCTGCATAACTTGTTCCACTGTTTAACTGCCATTGTTGGAGAGTAGAGAGAAGGAAAGAGGAGAGTTGTACATTGTGTTTGTCAAAGCTAAGTCTGCCTTTCTTCAAATTAAGTTCTCTGCTTGGCATCAACAGCCATGGAGAATTATTGAATGCCAGCAATTTTCTGATGTTTTATGTTTTCTTATCTCCATTCTCTTCATTTCCTGAATAAATAAGGAAAATTTTCCAACCTTGTCACAGGAGCAGTGTTTTAAAAGCATCTTTCTTGAAGTGCTCTGTGTTATAACTGGACATGGTGTCCAACAGAAAAGAATCAAAGGAATTAATGAATTTTCTTTTCTTGTGCTGTAGTGTCCCAGATTATATTTGTCTTCCTTTTGAACTAATTGCATTCAGGTTTTAGTAACACAGATTCTTCTGTGAAATGGGTAATGTGTTAGTGTTAATTTTATTTGTATTGTTGTCAGGCTTTGAACATTTTTCCTGAATTTCATCATCATTAGATCGCTTCTAGACTAATTACATAGATGACAGCTGTGTAAATGACTTGCATCCTCTTCAAGTTCAGTGTCATCAGCCAATTTTTGAGAAGTGTGCATTTTTTTCCAGTTGTGAAGGTTGAAACAGTAAGTACAGTACAGACCTTAGGAAGACCTCATTGGTTTCTGTTCTTCCAATTTTGTGGGGTAAAACAAATAGTTACCACTCTCTGAATTGTGTTCTTAGACAGTTATGCAGAAAACAATAATACAGTAGAAATTGCATATAGAAATTGTAGCCAGGCTGTGTTTGCCTCATTTGCTAGGGAACTGCTGAATCTCCTGACGGCTTACTCAGAAGACATAAACTGAAGTGTATCAAAACTCTTTTTTGCTTGTCTCCATTCCTGGCAGCCTGACAGGGAGAGAGGAAAGAGTGAACTCTGATTCGATACAGTTTTCATTGCCTTATTGTACTGCACTGCTTTGAAGTTGACAGTAATATTGTTTTCTTGTGATTAGTATGGACATTGAACTTACTGACAGTGGTTCTTGTGGTATGCGTTCCCCTTTTAAAAATAGATGTGCTTGCTTTGGGACTTTTTGTTTCCAGAGATAACTGATAATGCCTCAGAATTCTTTCACTGGTTACTTCAAATCCACTCCTGAGAACTTAGCTCACAGGGCTCTGACTTCCCTGGGTAAATTGTAAATTTTGCCTTTACTGTCTCCCAAGTGCAGGCAGAAGCAGGTTTGGTGTTGGTTTTTTTTCTGCTGAGACTCTTAATGCTTTTATCATACGAGTATGAAATTTCTAAGAAGGAATTCGGAAGGAATTGTTGACTTAGAAGATTGTTGAATGAGGAGATCTCCAGCTAATGGCTTAATACTTCGAAGATGAGGGTTGTGCTCTGCTTTCTGCAGCACTGGGCACATGTCTGCTCTTGTTCTGTGGTTTAATGTGAAAAATGAACTTCTTTTTTTACAAGAACTCCACCGTTTTCCTGTTTTAAATATACTTCCAGTAGCAGAGTATGAAATGTTTTAGGAATTTAGACATAATGTTTCCTGTTACTGTCTTCTCAATCTATACATTTAATTTTGTTTTTGCTTTTGACAGCATTTATGTATTGCTCAATTTTAACTATTGGTGAAGGTTACCACTGAAAAGACTTTTTGAGGAATAAGTTCTATCTGACTGTGAATGATAAAGAAACATAGTACTGAACAATTGCCAAGAAATTTTATCATCTCCTCATGATTCTAGTTTAATATCTTCGTGCTGCTAATTATATTATCCTGTTGTACATTGGGAATAAGTTTGCCCTCATCATGCTGGTCTAAATTTTCCATCTCTATCATCTGTGAGTTTGGCAGTTTAGCTGACTTGATTCTATGTTTTACATAACTCATTCCTTTATAATGGGCTTCAGCAATAAAGTGTTGCCTTCCAGGTGTGTGTTCAGAGATATGAAGAATAAACATGAAGTTATGCATTGTGTATTGAAAGCCTGAACCAAGAAATTAGTTAATAAATAGTATAAGAAATTAATGATTAACTACCTTGTTGTACTTCTTTCTGATCTTTTTCTTCATGGTATTTAGTGGGAACCTAGTTTATCTGTACTTATATGGTCACACTTTCATGTCTTCTTTTGCTTTGCTTTCTTGCCATTGTTCATCAGCTTCATCTTTAAGAATATGATGTTTACAGCCATGGCTATAGTACCCTGAGCCCTATTCTAACCAATGCTTTACTTTCAAATAAAGCATAATTTCAGCTCTTTACTTAAACTAACCATTGAATCAGTGATGTGAGTTAGAAGGAACAGCAAAGTAAGTAAAGATGCTAAACTTGTAATTTCAAAGACACAATGACATATTCTTCACTATGGGCAGGATTTTATCCAGTAATTCCTGAGTACCAGTGCTTTCTGGAAAGTTCATGGATTTGTCTGTACTGTTTTGCAGGGGATTTCCCAAGAAAACAGGCAGAACTGCTAGAATAGCCTCAGATGAAGAGATTCAAGGATCAAAAGATGCTGTGATTCAGGATCTGGAAAGAAAACTTCGCTTCAAAGAAGACCTTTTGAACAACGGGCAACCGGTATAAAAAATGTAGAAATAACAAAACCAAAAAATATAGAAAATATTGTGGGGAAGGGGAGTGGATGCCAAGGGTAGCATCTTAGATGAATTGTATATAAAGTAAATATGCATTCACTGTTTTTGCGTTTTATATATTTATTCTTTTTAATTGGATTTCCAGAGCTGCATTTCTGTAAGGAATAATAATAATGTATATTTTAGATTATCATTCATTCCCTCTGTTGTTGAGCAATTTTACTTGAACTTAACAAAGCAGTGGAGATCTCAAAGGTGATGAATGAGCAAGCAAATCAAACCATTGAGATGCACAGGTGTCAAGTTCTCCATAATTTTTTGTACATTTTAAGATATGCATAAAAGATAAAATACTAAAATCTTCCTGCTCAGAGTTGATAAGAAGCAACTCTCTCAAGGCTTGATTATTAAGACATTGATTTAAATTTCTTTGAAGCAGGAACCTCTTTTAAGAAGAAGGTAATGTAAAAAATGCAGGCTGTCATCCCTGTTTTGCCCATGAAATGTTTTCAAAGGCATAGGCATGGGAATGACTTGGATATCTTTGCTTCACTGAAAGGTAGCCTAGGTTTCTTATGACCATACTTAGAGTTTTGCTACAGTGTCTGACATCTGGACTACAGTGTTTAAGTTCAATGTAATTTCTTGAGTCCAACTGTCTACTCCACAGCATCCAGATTCTGTTCTCAGTAAGGTCAGTGATGTGATGGGAGTAACTAATGCTTCCATACTTAGCTTTATCCATTGACCACAGAGGGTTTGGTAGTTTTCTTTAGTAGTTAAACAGAGTCACTCTCATAATGTAGAGGTTAATTTCTTTTTCAAAGGAGATGGGTTGGTGTATGGGAACTGTTGAGTGACAGCCTGAACCACTGATTGATCATCTGAGGCAAGCACTGAGTCAGCCCTGGGAGCACAGGTGAAGGCGATTCAGCTGTGTGACCAAAAGGGGTAGAGCCTGGCTGCAGCTCTCCTAGACCCCATTTAAGGGCTGACTGCAACTGGGAAAGGGTCTTTTTCTGGAGATCCCTCCTTTTGGAGTTTTTTACTGTGAGCCTAGGACATGGGTTAGCATTTCATTTTTGATCGTCTCTTTCCACCACAACAATCTTTCGTACTATAAACCTGTAAAATACTATCCTAACCACACTACTCTTCTAATTGTACATTTGTTAATTGTGCTGGCCATAACTATCAGCTGGCCATAACTATCAGCTGGCCATAACTATCAGGCCTATTTTGGAAAGTAAGAAAGATGCTTGTCCTGTGCAAGTGTATTGAATATCCTTAGAAAGCCTACATGGCACAAGGAGGGGAAAAAAATGAGGTGATAAGATTACATGGGAACTTAAACCAATATATTCTGTTTTCATTCTTGCTTTGAAGCTTTTGCCCTGCAGATTCCTGTCTAGGGTGATTCTGTTTGTGTGATCGTGGCTGTGAACACTTGGAGTGGTCACAGAAGAAATTAGAGTGAAGAAAAGTTCAATAATTGTGTAGATGCTTGTAAGGCAGCCAAGATTAGTACCTAATTGTCATGAGTCCCTATTTTAGCAATGCCACATCTAAAAAACAAAAACAAAAAACTTCTGTAAGGCTTTTTGAAAAATGAAAGCATTAACTGGACCTAATGCTTTTTCCATTCTTTCATTTTTTTCTTTGTATTCAACCACATAATTGTTTGCCTTTCATTCGCTGGCATATTTTTGCAATATTTGTAAGGATGTATCTTGAATGCATGAAGTGTCTTATTGAATATAGAAGGAAAAATAGCAATGGAAAACTTGAATTCTACACTCAAGGTTCTCCTTTAACTTGCTTTACCTTCTGAGTGTAAACTGCCACTCCATCTTCTGTAAGTTGTTTCCTTAATTTGTGAAAGACTAAGAATAAATAGAAATTAAAAGTCTAAAAGAAATTACTTTTCTATAAAACTGCTGTTTTATTTCTGACAAAACAATCAAATAGAGTAAGTGGTATCTCCTTGGCATTTTTGACAGTTTTCTGCTGTGTGCTTCTAATGTAGCAGAACAGCCAGGGGTAAGATTTGGGATGATTTGACATAAGCTTTTTTGATGGCCATGCTGATTTAAGTAGTTCCTTTTGCTCATTCCTGCCCAAGTTTCTGGCAGGAGAAGGGAAACAAATGGCAGAGTCAGGACAGAGGTTGGTTAAGCCAGAAAAGCCACTTGTTTAAAAAAAAAAAAAAAAAGAAGAAGCATTGCAATCTGTGGTAGAAAAACTGCTGTTAAAAGCATATTGCTGCTCTCTTTCACATCACTTAAAGCATTGTTTACTGTCTAACTGCCATGTAGTCATGTAGTTCTTAATGAGAAATAAGAACCTTTATTTCTTCTTTTCCCCTTAGTCCAATTGCTCTTTGTTTTATTTTGTTTTGTTCTTGTCCAGAGATTAACATATGAAGAAAAAATGGCTCGTCGATTGCTGGGGGCAGACAGTGCTGCAACTGTCTTCAACATACAGGAACCAGAAGAGGAGCCTGCAATACAGGTGCTGCATAACTCTACAAGTACATAGGAAAATTTAAAAAAAAAATCTTTAATAGGCAGCAATTCACTTTTTTAAAAGTCCTCCATAAGACAGTAAGTGTACTCAAGATAGGAGAGATTTGATTTCAGAAGTCATACGTTATATATCAGCAAAGCAAACTGGAGAACCACGTGCCTGTTGCTCAGTTTTTCCATGCTGAATAAGGTTGAGAGTTCTCACATGTCTTCTGTCAGCTTTAAACTCTCCCATTTATCCTATTCTGTCCTGCCCTTTAAGTCTGTCCAGGCAAAAAATACATCTGCTATCTTGAAACTGTCTTGTCTTTATGTGTGTAATCTGCACTTTTTGAATGCTGATCAAAAATGTAACTGGAAGTCTGCTTGGAAGGCCAGGTACAGGCTCCCCATTGTTCAGATACCAGAGCTGCAATTCGGAAATGTGTAGCATTTATTTGCTTACATTACCACATAAAGTACCTTCTCCTCATATGCATTCACATTTCCATGAATACCTCTCTGTCTTCTTTCCGCTTCTTGATCTTTTTTTCTACTCTTGCAGGAAGTTTGTTCTACTGATGCTTCTGTAGCGAGTCCTATGGATATTCAAAAGGTTAACATTTTCACCTTTTTCTTTCTTTGTTGTTCTGATTTTTTTTAATTATTATTTTTAATTTTCTGTTGTCTGTCTACTTTCCCTTTCACTGTTCTTGGTTCATAACAAGAGATCACCACCATTAATAACTGGGAAGATTGGGAATGCCTTCCATTTATGTTGTTAATGATGATCTCTAAACCTTATTGATTGTGAGCAGCTTAACTGCAGTAGTGGCATGCTCCAGTATCTTTCTGCTCTAATGTTAACCTGTACTGATACTAACAGCCTTGCATCTAAATCAACTGCTCTTTATGTATACTTTATGATCTGATTTTATTCCTTTGTCCCCTGGAAATCCACCATTAAAAAAAAAATAAAAAAGGCATTTTACAAGGTATTTCTCTCTTCTATTTACTGTGGGCTATGATTAGTTCTGTAACCAGCAGAAAGGCTACAAGTTATTCCTAGGCTAGAATCAATGACAAAGAATTGGTATGTGTAAGGAAACTCCACATGAGATGCATTTTCTGTCTTAAAAAAGTAAAGATCAGAGACAACAGTCAAAGGTCATCTAAAAGAGAACTTAATTTCTGCAGAATGGGAAAGTCATTGGCTAGTAAATGTTTTTTTTTTTTTTTTCTGCCTTGAGCTTTCTTGTATTCTGGCATTACCTTTGCTATCATTAAGATTCAAAACTGGGCAGTTTTACTGAGTGAACAGTTCAAGAAAGTAAATAATTGTGTGTGTCACAGTAACATTTCCCAGTATCTGGGAAATTTAAACAAGCAGTATTGTTTTACACTAGATGCAACTTTCTGCTCTTTGCAAATCTTGAATATTCTGATGAGTAACTTTCTTTCTACGGAAGAAGTGATACTTTTGGCCAGCCAGAGGAGGAACCATGGCAACAGGAGTGAAGGGAGGCAACTATCATGAGCAGTGGTGCCATTTTCTCATTTTTACAGGCAATTGTAAACAAAACCATTTCAACTTTCTGGTGCAGCCTCTGGTACGGTTCTGTGCAAACAGCAGATGTGAACCATATGGTCTTCTGGCCATCTGGAAGCAAAATCCACCCTAAATCTGCCTGTACCCTGAAGGAAATATTCCTGTGCTTCTTTTTGTCTTTATGAACTGCTTTGGAATACTTTTATAACCTTTTTTTTTTTTTAATTGAAAGCAACCAATGGCTTTCCTTCCCCTTGTAAATTAGACCTTAAGATAACATGAAGTACAATTTTTGCCTCATACCAGATGTCTTCATTGTTTCATAGGGAAGTTATAGTGTTCTTCTGCAACTAGATACAATTTCCCTTTATATGGAGGATCTTAATGGATTGTCAGAGATCAGTAGAATAACAACAACAGTCACAGAAACATCTTGCACACATCATGGTGCAACACATCTTCATATGTTGAATTCTGACATTAATGTGAACCTTTTTTATTTGACAGGAATATAAAGTCTCCAGCTTTGAGCAAAGATTGATCAGTGAAATTGAATACAGGCTGGAGAGATCTCCTGTGGAGGAATCAGATGATGAGGTGCAACATGGAGATGAACCTATTGATAACAGTGCATCACCGTATTTTGAGATAAAGCTGAAGCATTACAAAGTCTTTGAGGGAATGCCGGTCACATTTAGCTGCAAAGTGACAGGAAATCCAAAGCCAAAGGTAAGAGAAGAGAGTGAACAGTTCTAGAAATGCTCTGTAGAGCTCTTTGTTAGTACCTTACAGTTTAGCCCCTAGACCCTGTGAGTTGTGTGGGAATAGTAGACATTCTCTTTAGGTAAGATAATGCTGATAATCTGGCAGTTGCTTTTGTCATCGTGGAATGTGTTTAGATTTATCAGACAAAAATCTACTATCAAGCTTTAGTTCTTAATCTCTCTTTCTTGAGACTTCATCACCATTATTTAACCTAGAAGTAATACTTTTGTCACTTTCAGTTTCCCTCAGGGTGCATCTGCAACAAAATGTAGTGTGATTCTAGAAGTCTGCATTTGAGCTGGCACTGTGGTTCCAAAAGCAATCACAATAGGTTAACAAGGGTTAACTGACTTAAGTACAGCAACATGCTTATACAAAGGTATACTGCTTCTGGTTCAGAGGCTACTGTGGTATCTGCACTCTTCAGCACTGCAGTTTATATCTACACACTTTAACAAGACTAGACTTTGTTGAAGGTTAGAGAAAGGCAGACTGAAATTCCGTAAGCTCCCACATATCACAATTGCAAGATGAGACATGATGGTGAGGTTCATAATGATGAGCTTCTGAAGGAGGGTTGGGCTTGGGAAGTGTTTCCTTTTTGCAAATGTAAAAGCACCAGCTGTATGATGTCAGTAGTCTGGAATAATGCCTTTCTTTGGTAGGTAACGTTTAACTATTGCATAAATTACCTGGCAATTACCTGACTTGTTATGGATTAGGCAAACAGCAGCAGCATCTCAGACTGCCTTGTCAAAGCCTGTATGTTCCTCTGAGGTCCTTGCAATTCTTACAGTGACCTCTGGTGGCTAGGGGCTCTTTTTTACCTCTTGGATATCTGAGAGGTATGTGAAAAGAATGAGAAGACCTTCCCTAGAATAAACTGTACAAGTATTGAGAATCTTGAACTGACTTTACATGCCCAGTGCTATAAATGTATGATACTGCACACACTGTAAACAGGAAAAATCAACTTTGTCAGGTACTGGAGAAAGAACAACAGCTACAGCAACATCTACTCTATCAAGTAGTGCAGACCACAAGAAGCAAATCTGTAGAACGAGATATCCATCTCTGCATGCATTTCAGGAGGTTTTACTTCAGACTCTAATCTCATCCTATGGACTGAAGCAGATGCAGTATATTAGATGTGTTCTTGGAGCTCATTTTCTGGCTTAGTTTCATCTGAAAGAGGTCCAACTCTGTATTCCAAGACCACTTCACAGCACGAACCACTGCAGTATAGTAGGGGTGATCAGTGTACTCATATCAGAAAAGCACTCGTGCTTCAAACTGGAGTAGTGTAAACACTGAGAAATCTGACTGAAGCCAGCCCTTTGATGTCCAGCATTGTTTTTGACATGACCATACAGAGGAGTCTGAGGTGCTGAATAAGGCTGGAAGACAAATTGTTTCATTGCTGTTAGAGGTGAGGTGTGCTCTTTCTGCCTGGAGCTTATGACTAAGTTGCTGAATGACCTCCTATGAGTCAGCCTTAGTCAACTGTTGCCATTCCCTTCTTTTCACACTTTTCAATTACGGTGCAGTCTCACAGTTATCTCAATCTGATTTAAGACAGATGAAAGAGGATGCCTCTTCCTCCTTCCCTCACTCTCCTTGTTTTGGCATTAGCGACTGCACAGTTGGGAAACCACGTTGTTTGTATTTCCCTTAAAATGCTGCCCTGTGAAGGAGTATTGTGTTGTCAAAGCATGCACATTAAGTGATTTGCTCCTGCACCTGGGACTGTGACCCTTTATTCCATTCATTTGCAAATGCTTTGTGCAATTTGTTAAGTTGCTTGGGATGAAACCAACTTCAGGCCTGTTGGATAGCTACTTGTTAGTTGGACTTGGCAAATGTCAAAGGCTGTTTTCTCTTCACCTGACTGAGTGTGCCAACATAACAGTTTTGACATACTCAGTGGTTGAGGGCTGTCCTTCTGCTGTAGTTTGTTGAGGCTGGAAGTGTTGCCCCTGAACAAATTCTTTACTTTGGCAAATGAAAAGCTGGAAATAATTTACTAACTTAAAGCTCCTCCCTTCTAAGTGTTCTGTCACCTCTGCCAAGGAACAGCTTTGGGAAGGACTGCAGTGTTTCTAAAATCTGGCATTCATTATGAGGGATTTTTCTAAAGAAGGGTTATTGGCTTGATTATTTTTTCTCCTGAACATGCTGTGTAAATTGAATACTGATGTGCAAATTCTGTCTTCATAAATATGACTTTTTAAATCTGAGGTTCCTTTCGTTATAACCATCCCCATAATGTAAAACTATCATTAAAATGAGAACTTGTGGTAATGCAAGAGGGATTGTGGAGTACTTCATTTTAAGGGATAGTTCTCTTTGGAATTAGGAAAATGCCATACAAAAGGTTAATTGAGATTTGAATGTCTCATAAAGCTTGTACTGCTCTCTCTACATGAGGCTGAATATAATTCATAGTGATTAAAAACGACTGTGTTGCTTAAGATCAGAAACCCTTCTGTACTGTGTATTCCACTGTATTTCCAGTCATTACACATCAGTGTCTGAAAATCTGATACAAATAAAAGCAATCCAGATGCAGTGCTCAGTGCTTACGTAGTTTAATGGTACATTTATTAAAAGGGAAGAAAGAAAATGCTTTACTACAAGGACCATTGTCTCCAGTAGTGGTAGTGTTTTACCTATAAATTCCAGGCCAGATGAAGACAATGTTAAGCACCTACTACACCTAAGTAAAAACATTTTATGCCAGTGCTTTTAGATCTAATGAAAATGAGTATGGGACATCATATGCATGATGTTTGGATAGCTGGTTCAGTTAATATTTGCATGCATTTCCATGTAATAATTCCTGGCACGTCTCCTGATATTTCTGATAAGTTCATTGTTATTGAATAATTACTACTTAATGCAGTAGATTTCCAGGCAGCATTATGACACATACAAAGCATGCAAGTTAGAACTCATTTTTTGCAGCTCCACTGTTACCAACAGCCATTATGATTTGTATATAAGTGATCAAATATCTTTTGCATCTCCAGTAAGTGCTCTGTCAGCAGATGAGAAGACATTACCAAATCTTTTGTTAGCACCAGAGAGTCTTTGCAAGCCTGCTGACAGACAAAATGGAAAACAAGTATAACTAGCTATTGAGGAAATGAAATCATTTCTAGTTACACACAATGCTTGTTAATATAAAAAACATACACGGTAATTAATTTTTAAAGGAAATTTCCACTCATTCTCTCCCAAACCTTCTCCACTGTGTTTTAGTGAAACGTACATTAATTAATTTTATCCCCAAGTGAATGTGTGAGAGCTTTGAAATGTTGCCAGGTGGCAGCCCACATGCTCGTGTCTGCTGCCCCCAGGGATGCCTGCAGCCAAGGCTGCAGGGAGTGCAGCACAGTTTGCAGGGAGCAGAGGTCTGCTGGTGGCTGCAGGTACTCTGAGTGAGGCTCTACCACAGAGCCACCTCCTGCAGGAGCTAACCCTCAGCCCCTCTCTCTTCATGCCTTGTGATACGTGGGGAACTTCATATCAACTAATGCTGCTTTAAAGACAAGTGAGGCCTGCTTGTGTGAACAGGAGGGTTTCAAAAGTACACCCAGCACTGAGTGGTGAGTGGTGTCCACTCTAGAAGTACAAAATGGTGCTGGCTTTAGGGAGAACGTGCTTCAGGAATGACAGTAAGTGCTGTCCTGTGCAGGTGCTGACTGCACCTTGTGACATTCCTACATGCTCCTCTGTGAGTTTTCATGCTTTCGTGCATCTTTTATTTTTTTAACACACAGAATTCAGTTTGAGGTTTTCCTTGTTTTTAAAATACGATGCAAAAAAAAAGGTCAGAATTGAATCTTACCATCATTATTGCCTTAAGTCTGAGGTATTAAAATCACATATGTGGATTTTGTGTGTGTGTAATTTATGGATTACTGAAGATATTATTCTACATACATCATTTTTTGGCTCATCAAGATCAGATCTTGGGTCAGCCAGAGAAAAAAATTACGTATCAAAAGCAATGGAAAAGACCTCTGTCTGAGAGGTAATTTAACTTTGCTGTACAAGTTGGAACTCTGCTGTTGCTGGCACACAGTTATTAAGGGCTGTCGATATACTGAGTGACTTAGAAGTATTTCCTGTTGCTTTGTGAAGCTGCCTTTTCTTGTGGATGTCTGTCACGCCGGGGTGATGCTGTAGGACTTGGTCCTGCCACTCGGGAACAGGTGTTGTTTGATCACTGTTTCACTGTTTGTTTCAGCAGATAGCATCTAGGTATGTTAACCTAGCAGCACAGAGCAGCTTGCAGCTGACTGCCTCATGTGGTGCAAAGGATGGGGCAGCACTGCACTGTGTTACAGCAGTGAGATCATTCCTGATCACAGAACTAATTGTTCTGATAATTACCTTGGTTTAAGTTTTCCTTTTCTGAAAGGAAAGCAGTAGCTTTCTTAAGTTCTTCCTCCAGCTTCATCAGATTTAAGTGAAACAAAAATGTAAAGTTATTAATCTTATCTGATCTGGAACTTTCCTTTGCAATGACATTTATTTTCAGCTCTTCAGCTGCTGCTCTGTCTGCGATCAGCACAACCCTTATGCACATCTAAAGCTGTGAGATGGGTGCTCACACTCCGGCCTTTCCCCCGAGCCACTGCTGTCCTGGGACTTGGATTTTATAGGAAGCGGTTCTGGTGTGTGGTTCTGCACCTCTGCAGGCTGATTGGACCCACTCCTTTATTGCCAACCAGAGAAGTTTTCAGCAGCTAAGATTTGGTTGCGCTGTAAATTGAGAAATGATGATGGTGAGCACCTACCTCTTACCAGCCGTGCTTTGTTTTTCCCCGCAGATTTATTGGTTTAAAGATGGGAAGCAAATTTCTAAGAGAAGTGATCACTACCGAATTCAAAGAGAACCTGATGGAACTTGCTCACTGCATACTGCAGCCTCCACCCTGGATGATGATGGGAATTACACTATTATGGCTGCTAACCCACAGGTAAATGAAGGTTTGGCTCCAGAGCAAACATGCTTCTGAACATGAATCTTCAGAACCTTACGTATGCGTGATTTAATTAAATGAAGTCACCACCAAGTATGTAAGTTAGATTTCTGTTTTCATCTTGCATCAGTAGGGTGGGACCTTTCTATATCTCCCAGAGATTAGCAACTCAACAGCAATTTTTTTTTTTTCTAAGTTTGAGGTTTCAGAGGGAACGGGTGTTGTTGTTTGATCACTGTTCCACCATTTGTTTCAGCAGATAGCATCTAGGTATCTTAACCAAGTATGGATACCAGATGTATTATACAAGGGGGGGAAAAAGTCAAGTTTACCAGGAGTAACTCAATCTGGCTGCTAAGCTTTCATTTTTCTTCTCATGACACCTCTTACTGACTGAGGCCAACTCTTTGAAGTGAATAGGAGTGCACTGCACCTCAGCACAGTTACCTCAGGCAGGGATTGCAGCTCTAAAACAAACAATTCCCATGCTTACTGGGGAGGAGTGCAGAGTCTTTTGTGTTGGTACCAGAGTCTTAAACACTGTGTTCTGAAATGCAAAGTGTTACTGGATCTGTAATATTCTTTGTTCTTCACAGACCCAATACAAGAGCTGAGGTATACAACAGAACTCAGTGCACTGGAGGTTAACTGAAGTTACTGTTCAAGCATCCTATTGAACTAACTTTCTCAATCCACTTTTTCCCAGAGCAGAGCAAATCAAGGAAAATTATTTGCATGTGAGAAACCAAGGCAGTAACATAACTTAGGGATATAACGAATTACTTTCTTCTGTAGCACCAAATAGCTTGCCAAGACCACGACTGCAAGTAGAACTGCACTGTGAAATAACCTCCATCACTGAGATGGAGCTTAATCTGAGAGTATTGTGCTGTGTTATGATGTTGCTAGGTTACATGACACTTTTGCCTTGCTCTTTTTACTGTCAGTCCAGCCCTTACTGCAGTGTGTTTCTCTATACAGAGACAAGAAAGAGCAGTGTTTAGACCCCTGATTCTACCGACTGCAGTGCTTAAATCTAGAGAGTCTGAACATTTTTTCTACATATAGAAATAACAGAAATAAAGAAATAGCATATGCCAGGGGAATTCTTCAAGCTGGGAACTTCTATGTGTAAAAAAGAAGCACTTGTATTATAAAGCTTGGTGCCATTTAAGTTGTACAAATTCACCACAAGTTTAAAAATGATTTAAAAACAAAAAGTAAACAACTGTTTCTCTGGGGTTTCTCTGTGTAGTTTTACTGTGGGATCCAAAATCTTAGAGAAGGTGGTGAATAAGGTACCCTTCCATTTGGACACTGACAGCTGTCCCTCAGTAATTCACATATGCATATTTAGGCCTTAGTTTTTAACAAGCTGTTCTGCATAAAGCTTGTCTGATGACACACCAGTGAACTAGCCTAGATCATTAGCTCTTGTCATTGGTGACACAAATTTGTCAGTGTACTAATGTAAATGTGCTAAACTGAGTTGGTTTTGTAATGACCCTAGTGTTGGGGATGGGGAAAAAAGTTTGTGCTTTTCATTCCTCTTTGGGAAAAGAACCAAACTGCAGAAGCATCCTTTTCTAGATCCCCAAAACAAAACCTGTCTATTTCATCAAGCCTATTGTATTCTTTCTTCGTGGTGTGCTTCCCAAACAAAGATGCTCCTCTCCTGTTAGACTGCTTTTACTACACATTTCACAGCACAGTGGAGGCAAAGAAGGGCTGTGAGTTCATGTACAAGCCTCTTGCACTAAAATATCTGGATTCCAATTCTTTTAAGTCATCCCAAGTAGAAATAGTTTTGGCATAGCTTTCTAAATCCTAACGGAAAGTTGTCCGTGTCTCAAAGCTATCACAAAGTTAGGCAAATTTGGCAACCTTTCCTTAAGAAAAGCAGAATATGTAAACATAAGGGAGTTGACATCAGGGTTCTGATGGACTGGCAGATACTTGCTAGATGGTGCTGTGTTTTGGTCGTTGCTATTAGGACTATCAAACTACACAGCAAAAAGGCATGTTCAGAGCTGTTAGAAATTAATTTATTTTATTAAAGCAGAGGATTTCATTCATTAGAACTCTGTGGGTTTACACTGTCACGCTATCTGGATGATTACTACAGAATTTATGTATGCAAGATGACTTGTTGATGCACCTTAGAAATTATCTGTGGTAGTTAATGCTGCACTACTGCCTACAGCATGAAGTGCAGCGAGCTGGAATTAAGTTCTAATGCTGCTGGGGTTTGCAGTACAACTTGCCATCTAACTTGAGCCAGAGAAAACTGATCTCAGATCTAGAGAAATATAAAATCTTGCTTGGTTCAGGCTGTTACTTAAAAGTTACAACTCTTAACTGATCTCTTGCCATGAGCTCTAAGCGTGGCCTCAAGCTAGGTCCTTATTTTCACCTTCTTTTATTTAATTCTCTCCACTTCTTTGCAGTGTGCACCCACTCAAGTTCCAGTGCTTTCTAGGTCATCTTCCCATGAACCATTTCCCATATCCATTGCTCCTTCCTGTTCATCCCATAACTTTTCCAAATCTGGGGCTTCCAGTTGGTTCTTTACTATCCAAATTCCTTCCAGGACTTTGTATTTCCATTTGTGATGCCTTCATGTGTTGAGATGCACAGGAGTTATTCAAAATAGCATTAATTCATCACCTGACAGAATCAAATGAATATACAGCAGTGCCTAAAATAGAAATCTACTTGTTCCATGTGTTTTTAATGGTAACACAAAAAAGCTTTTGCATAAGAAATTGCTTCAGGTTATGTGCAATGGTTTATTTTACAGTTTTTCTTGTGGGCTAAATGGGTCATGGGAATGGAACTGGGATACAGGGATCATGTCTGACAGCCCAGCAATGACAAAAAGGTCTTTGCCTTTTGAAGGCTCAGTCAGTCTCACTGTATGGCTTACAGCCAGTGGTGCTGCTACTTCTTGGTGTTTTGTGTTGTGGTGGTGGTGATTTTTTTGTTAAATGTAAAAACTGGATAGAAAGTAGATGGTGGAACGTTTTAACCAGTCACAGTTATTTCATTCTGTTCGTTGTTAGTTGCAAGCTGATGAAACAGTTTAATATCTGAAGGTATCTTGACAAATGATTTTAAAGGATTTTGTGGAAATGATGATGTTACAGGCTCTGTAACAGGCGGGCAACAAAGAAGAGATCAGGTTAAACATGTATTAATATTACATGAGTTCAGTCTCACTTAATTGTCTGTCTCTTCTTCGTTATTACAGGGCAGAATAAGCTGCACAGGAAGGCTGATGGTTCAGGCTGTAAATCAGAGAGGCCGCAGCCCTTGGACACCACCTGGCCAGCCTCATATCAGAAGGTACTTGATGCTTTTTTTTTCTCTCTTAACAATATCTGTTTTGCAAAATTGCTGTGATGAAGAATCTGAAGTAAGAAGGCAAGTTAGAAGTGTGGCATACAGGAAGAAGCCTGCCCACTGCTGACACCTCTGCAAACCTTGCACAATAGGGAACTAGCGGGCAATGTCAGAAATGACATAGCTTTAAAGTATCTTGAACTTTGTTTGTCTCCCTTTCCTTTCACTGTCCACAAGTTAGACTGTAAGCTGTGAGGAAAGCCACTGTTGCTTCTGTGGGTGTTCAACATCTCAGTGCAATGGGAGCCTGTACAGTGTGCAGCATTAGTAAGCATTTTTTAACAGAAACAGCAGAAATAACTGTAAGCCACAGAGTTTATTGCTATTTCAGTGATTTCATTTCAGGTTCTTAGCAGGAATTATGAGTCAGATATAAAGCATTGAAGTTATCTTTAGTGAGTTTACAATTATTCACATACAGAGCTTCAGTTTACGTTTTTGGACCATATAAGGGAATTTTCCTCTCAATATGTTTTTTTTTCATTGCCCAAAGCATTTATGAGGGTATTTAGCAGAGCTCAGACATCTTCAGACAATACAAAAAAATTCCTTTTGGTTACACAAACAGAGCTGCTTTCAAGGGAGCATGAGGGTTCTTCTCCAGGCCTTTGCTATAACGAGGGCTGTGATTTGTGGAACGGTCACAACAGCTACAGAATCTCAGTACTGCCCAATTGTCATATGTAGAACTGATGTAATTACCTGCTGTCAGAGTGCAGCAAAGGAGCTCAGATGCTCCCTGCAACACTACGTCCTGCAGAGTGCGACATGAGATACAGGCATCCTCTGCCAGCTCTGATGACTGGGGGGTGTCGTGAGATGAGGCTGCTGAACAGATGTCATCTGACTTCTGCATTGAGCAAATCAGGCTTCCTCTGTCCTGAAAGTGCTGCCCTCTGTCTCATGCACCTGCAGATAATGGGTAGAAAAGAAAAGTCTGTGTTAATCCATGAAGGAAAAAGCTGCAGGGAAGAGTCAGGTTTCAGCTAAACTAGTTGATGCACAAGAGTGAGAAAGGAGAAACATCTTCAAAAAGGAGGAGTGGAGGAGGGGAAATAGGTATGGGCAAGGGAAAATGGAGCAGCTGACACTTCTGTGTCTTTGTAAAGGATAAAATGCAGACTTCCTCCTGCAGCAGGCAGAGCCCTGAATAATAGAGGGGAGCCCTGTTTTGCAATTTTGCCAAATGCAATTGAAATCTGAGGCCACTCACAGCTGCTATTTTGCTGTTCAATTGCTGCAAGCACTCTGGCAGTTTTGGCTGGGTGTGTAACAGAGTAAGGAATTGTAAGAGATTTGCATATAGCAGTTTAATTAAAATGAGTGCAACTACTGGGAATTCTTATTTCCTGCACAGTTTCGGGAGGTCTGTTTCAGCACTGTTTCTGTCTGGTGGACTTTCCCACTGCTCCCATCATTCAGTTCTGCCCCAAACTGATGAAATCTGAGCATGTTCCACATTCCTGTGACAGACTCCCACCACCACAGCTTTTCTAATGGAACAGACCACAATAATGTGCTCCGCTCTACAGTTGGTCACACATTTCCATACACTTTTGATAAGTAATTTTCCTGTTGCATTACAGCATTTTTTTTCTGTAAGTTTTTTTTTGCTTGCTTGAGAGCAACAACAATTTCTATGACAAGTAATTATTAATGAACTTTCTTACTTTCTCCACTGCTGACAGTACTAGATCTCTTACAGAGTGTGTTCTGGCAGCCCTCTGGTTTTGTTACCTCCACTACTTCATTGCCATTTTAAGGCATGCTTTCTTGATGTCACTTCATTTTTCATGTGGTATTTTTCTGAAACATGCTCTGCTTGCAAAAATTACCTTCTCAGCCTTACTCGGGGAGAGGGTTTTGAAACATCTGAGGTGTGCAAGGCTTAGGGCCCCCCATCACAGCACCCAGTGCTGCAACACCAGAGTGATGTCACAGCATGCAGCAGACCACAGTTCCAAGCAGATCACCTTAAAATGCATGAGATGTAAGGAAGATTTAAAAATGTATATATTAGGGCCACTTTGTAATAGACGTAAAAAAAAGACACATTATTAGTTTCTGATACCAAAGAGTGTGTTGATTTAGCTTTTCTTTTCTACATGTAATTTGAAAACCTAGTTAAGGAACGATTCAAGAAAAAGCCCCTATCTTTAAAAACCTGCTTTGATCACAAACTCAGCCTCTTTATTTTCCACTTCCTGGGGTGTAATTTTTTTCCCCCTGGCTTCCCTCAGTGCTGCTGCAGCTACAGCAGTGGGATGGTGGTGTGCAGGAGGACTTCTACCCTGCAGTGCCACCTGTTCACCCACTCACTGTTTTCTGAAGGGTAAAGGTAATTGCAGGGGCAGACTGCATGCTGCTTGATAGCAGAACAGGGTGAGGTTAAGTATACAGGACACCAGAAATGAAGAACCGAAGCTATATTCTAAAGCCTGCCAACTTTAATTTGGATTTCAGTGATTTAAAGACTAAACAAAACATTTTATCATGTACAAATATAAGATTATTACAAGTAATTATTCTGTAGCAAGACTGTTTCCTAGATTTTTTTGGGATGCCTCTTCTGACATAGTGGGAATCAATATCTGACTGCTGTCTCCTGGTATTTTAAGGCCGCGATCTCGATCAAGGGACAGTGGTGATGAAAATGAACCAATCCAGGAGCGATTCTTCCGACCCCATTTTCTGCAGGCCCCTGGAGACCTGACTGTTCAAGAAGGAAAACTCTGCAGGATGGACTGCAAGGTAAGTGCCAGGCACAGGCCAGCAGCTACCTCTCTGTAAGCTCAGCAGAGTCAGAAACCAAGTGGGATGAGGTACTTTTTTGATGTTATTTTACCTATTGGCAGTGTCAATAGGTTAATTAATCTCACTGCCTTTCAGCAAAAGTTGACAAATAAAAACTTGCATCCTCAGCGAGGAAATTGCTCGGCAGGCAGACCTGACAGCTAGCAGAAAAATGAATGTTAGAATTCATCTCCTTAGGGCTGTAGGGGGAAGCAGTACACACTTACAAAGACAGCATGCTTTGAAATCTTTTTGCTACTTCAGTTTCCATCCTCTGTTACTTTCAGACTCTCTAAGCTTGATTTATGACTTTAACAGAACTGATGGAGGCTGGGGCTTCTGTTTACTGAGTGATGGTGTACTTGGGAGAAGCTGTTTGTTTTCACGCAGTACCCCATCAGGTGGCAGGGCTTTTAGGAGTGCAGGACTCACGCAAACAGACCCATACAATGAAATGGAATGCAGAGCTCAATGCTTGGTCAGCTAACATCTTTTTGTCTGCAAGTTTTTGACAAGAAATTAGTTTAGAAAGGAATACTGTTTCATTCCAGGTGAAGAGCAAATGATGAGAAAAGATACAAGGTGTCACTCTACTTTTTGTTGCAATGTGTTGTTGTTTAGTTTCTAGCATATCTAAACACTGATCTTTTTCCAGTCACGCCTTTAAGACACAGTGGAATTCAGGGAGTTGGCGAGAAAGCAAGTAAATTAATGCAACTGAGCCAACGTGTAATTCAGATAGAATTAGTTCTTTAAATCTTGTGGTGTACCTGCATTAGCAAACAAAACCAAACTCTTCTGAAGTAACGAGTCAGGACTACTCCTTCACTGTTTTTGCATGGCAAATAATTTCCCATCATTCTCTTTACGCTGAAGGTTAGCGGATTGCCAACACCAGATCTAAGCTGGCAACTAAATGGAAGACCCATTCGTCCTGACAGCTCTCACAAAATGCTGGTGCGTGAGAACGGGGTGCACTCCCTGATCATAGAACCTGTCACCGCGAGGGATGCGGGAATCTACACGTGTGTGGCCAGCAATAGAGCTGGAGAAAATACATTCAGCCTGGAGCTCACTGTTGCAGGTAACATCTTCGTGCTGAAAGTGTAAAGTAGAAAATTTAAGTCAAATAACGTGGCTGAGGGTTGGGGAATGGGAAGAGGAAACCATGCAGCAACAGAGCTATATCATATCTCTAAGGTGATACATTTATGTTATGTTTTGTTGAGTGGCATGGAACCTCTGGGTATGTTATGAAGAAAAGAGGGTTGTTTTCATCCTGAGGCACAGCTGAGGCCACAAAGCCAACTATTTATTTTTCCATGTGTTGTGGTTTTTTTTCCCCACAGCAATATGTGCAGATCCATACCTATGTCTGGGCTGCTAGTTTGATATGGTTCACAGGACATTAGATTAATGCCATTCCAACCAGCTGGCAGAGCATTTCTTCTACATTTAAAGGCTCATCCTGTTATGGAGGATGAAGGAGCACTGCTTAACAAGCACAGTGCAGCCAATGAATCTAGTCAAGCTCTACACTTTAACTATTCCAATGACTGAAGGGGAGGAGGAGAAAAATCCCCAACTCTGTTAGACCTCACTTTTCTTTTATTAAAATAAGGATGTGACTTTTCTTCAGATGAAGTGGAGCTAGGCTTTGTAACTAATGAAAACAACACCAAATTTGCCTGCCTCTTAGGTTGTTCCTCTGTATACACAGAAGTGTCAGCAATACTGCAATCTTTATTTTCACAGCTAAGGAAGTACACAAAGCACCTGTGTTTATAGAGAAACTACAGAACACAGGTGTGACTGAGGGGTTTCCAGTGCGACTGGAGTGTCGAATCTCGGGGGAACCATCGCCTCAGATATTTTGGAAGAAAGAGAATGAGTCAATCACACACAATACTGACAGAGTGAGGTAAGATTGTCTGAGAAGTATCTTTCTATTCCTAACTTCGTTAATGATTTGTCCTGTAATACAAGTGAAAACCTAAAAGGTCATAAGAATGCTTTCTGTGAGCAGCACATTATAAATACTAACTAAAGTTGAGTTATATCCACTTGCATGGAAGCAACTCCTCCATGAGACAAGGGCTTTATGCACACTTTTCCCCAGCATTTAGTAAATGCTAGTTCAGAGCAGCTGCAGCATCTCACTTCCATCACCTCCATTCTTTAGTACTCCACTTTTCCCCTTTTCCCATGCTTCCTCTGGGAACAAAGGCAGCTAAAAGCTGAGCTCAGTGCTGCTATTACAACATGGGAGCTTCTGTGAAACTAGCTTGGGCTAGTCTCTAAATCACAGAAAAAACCTGCACATCTTTACAGGGACATATTATAGGGGTAGTGGAAAAAAGAAGTCATATTATATATATTTATTTTATTTCTAAAATCTGTATGTTTGTCATAAATATTTGACAGCATTTTGTAGGAATGTTTAAGAGAAAATTCCTGATATATCAAAAGAAAAGGAACTCAATACTGATATGGCACTCTAATACATTATTGCTGTCCTAAATAACTATAAATATTTCAGTACTTCACTTCTCAAGTCAGGTCTTGTATCCTGTACCCACAAAGTCTGGATAAGTTCTGTAAATCTGCTTTCCAGATGTCCTAATCTGTCACTTGAAAAGAGAAGCTGCTCTGGGTGGTTTTTCCTTCTTTCTTTTTAATACAGGATATTAAACTGCCAAATTTCCAAACCTATTGAAGGTTTCATTTACCACTTGCTAATTTCAGAGGAAGTTTTGCATTAATTAAAAGTAGACTGTATATTTAATGTCGAACTAGGATGGGGTCTGTTTATAATGACAATTAAATGTCTGCATTGTTTTTCAATTTAAGTAGTAATTTGCAACTTCCCTTTTGTTCAGCATGCACCAGGACAACTATGGCTACATCTGCCTGCTTATTCAGGGAGCTACAAAAGAGGATGCTGGTTGGTACACCGTTTCAGCTAAGAATGAAGCTGGGATTGTGTCTTGCACTGCCAGGTTGGATGTTTATAGTAAGTGACTTCCTTTTTCATGACCTCATTAATCCCTCAAAAGCAACAGTTCTGCAAGTGTCAGTGCAGAATCATTTCGCAGAATCATTTACATTGGTCTCTCTTTCTTTTGTTTATAGTTTCTCCTCAATAATAACGATCCACATCAAGACAACAAATGCTCTGTCAAAGTACTTCCGCCATCTTTCAGCTACCAAAACAAAACAAGCATGCATGCATTCTATTTTTGCTTAGTATATTAAATACGGCTAATTAACAACAGATAACGGCATGATTAGATGACTTGTGGATCATTATTACTATTACTGTTAGCACTTCCCTAACCTCTTGTATTCTTTTTCACCTTAGTGTGCAGTACACCTGTGACAACTACCAGAACTGTAGTAGTTAGGCCTTTCTGCCTAACTATATAGTTTGATCCAAAGCAGCCCCTTACACTTACTGAACGTTTTCTTAAACTAAAATTCCATTACCAATCCCCTCATAAGAAGAATAAATGAGTGGGAAAATGGGAAAGGTAGATATTTCCTGGGGTGGTATGATAGGGAGACTTGGGAATTAGGACCTTGGCTCAGCATTCTTCTGGATTCAGGAGGTGACAATGACAACCAGATTATTTTCTTTCCCATTACAGCCAGTAACCCTAGAACAGGCTGACACTGTAATATTAGAGCACAGAAACACATACCTCGCTGTTAACCTTCTCACTGATACTAGGAAAGGTAGAAAGCAGTGCCAAAAAGTCAAGGTAACAACCACAGATGCTTGTTTTTATTCATCACGTTTGAAGGTGAAAACTAGATGCTGAGGAAAAAAATAAACACACCGAGAAATGAAACTTACCTTTCATGTAATCCTTTGCTGCTGCCCAGAAATGAGTGCCTCTTTACAAAGGATAGATTGTAAATCTAATACACGTTGTTGCAGAGATGATGATGCCTAATTTTTATTCTTTCCTTTTTAATTTATAGCTCAGTGGCAACAACCACCTCAGACAACCAAGCCAAAGAAGGTGCGGCCCTCAACCAGCCGATACGCTGCACTGTGTGACCAAGGACTAGACATCAAAGCAGCTTTCCAGCCAGAGGCAAATCCAGTCCATCTGACAATGCAGCCTGGTTTGGTAGAGAGCGATGACCTTTAGATCCGAGCCACCGCTTCCGTCATCTTCTTTCAAAGCAGAAACACTGAAAGCCATTGCCTTGACCAATGATACTCCTATGTCACTTTATGCAAAGGCAAACACCTTCAAGTACAAAAGATAAACAACAAACACAGTAACCATGTATTCCTTATTCAGTATACCAAATTAGAAGAATAGGTAGATTATTAATAGAAATGTACACATTGCACAACAAATCACGTTCACCATTTCCTTATACCTAAGTTGCTTCAGCTCTTTGAATAACCCTTTTCATAAAGGCCAAAATGCATCAGTGAAAGAGACTTTTCAGAAGAAAACACTATCCATCACCACGTGCCTTCGTAAGCAGTAAGCAGATGTTACACAGTGCTCATGGTGCGAGATGTTTTATTTGAGGCCATTAGATGACAAAGAAAACTAGGATGCACGGTAACCTATAGCTCTAAAATGGCAATGCATTCTGATAGCTACAGTGAACAAGTGCAATATTGTAATAAAAAAGGAAGAGACAAGGAAGAGAAATGTAAGCAAACGCTGCATCTCTGCAAACTGTTTTTTGTTCTACAATGAAAAGAATACTCTGCCTTAAATGCCATTAATATGGACAACTCTATAAAGCAACGTTGAAGCCCCGGTTTTTAGTTCTTTTATATTTCTCCTTTCTGCCACCTAGGAGGAGGCTTTCTTACAAACATACAGCAAAGATGGTTAAGTGTGAATGGTTTAACCTCTTCCAACTAATGAAGAAGATACGTAACACAGTCTACTCCAGATCATAAGCCTTAGTAACTAGAGGAGAAAAAGTGCCGACGGTGTGAACCGCTGCAGTAGATTGCTACAAAGGGTGGGAGGGGGACAGGGCAAGGGGTTGAAACTCTCTGTGGATTTCCTGAAGACAGCCTGCAACCTCCTAACACTCTTGCTGAAGAATCTGAAATTCTAAGGTGAGCCGAAAACTAAGGAACGTATATAGGGGCCATTTGACTGCTTAGCACTTGAGTAACACGTATGAGGATTTTAGGAATGCACAGTAAGTGAGAAGTGGGTTGAGACTGCAGTAGGAATATCGATGAAAAGTAAACACCATAGGTGATAAGCTTGCAAATCTGAGGAAGCAGAAGATGATGGACAGAACAAGGAAACTTGCACCACTTTTTCTTCTTACCATACATGTTTCTGGATTTTTTTTTTCCCTCATCCTTCCTGTTGTTTGCCTACAACAGCTCTGTTATGGGTAGGGGCTGCGTGCAGTAGATGAAATGCTACTTTCAGAATGCAAGGCAAATCCACATCAAACTGGAGTTCCACCTCGTCAAGTCTGACAAGGTAGTTTCAAATTAGAACCAAATGAATTTCAGATGAAGGGGAGGGAGGGATGGAAGAGTTGCCAGGCCTGACAAGAAAAATGAGTGTTTGATGGTACGAGCATACTTCGCTATGAAAGGAAAACACTGTATTCCTTATATGAAGCACATACATGGTATCTTTCATTATTTATAATAAAAGTGTTGAGATCTTTTATCCCAGTTCAGTTATTCAGAAGTCCTGTACTTAGTTGGTTTTTTTTATTTTGTAATTGTGTACACCATATATTGCATTACTGCTATAAGTGTATTGCTTTGTAAGTACACAGTTTGTTTGTTTTTTTAGTGACTAATAAACTTTAGCACATAAGTTAGTACTATTCTATGCAAATTGGTGCAGGACATGACCAGTTCTGGGAATCGTTCCTCTAAATTAATGTCATGCTTTGTTGTATGGGAATAATCTGATTATATTCTAGAAAAAGTATGTCATATCATTCGCAAAGTTCTTCACAACTGTGACATGCTAATTTACTTTTTTTTTTTTGTTTAGCTTCACTAGCATTATTTTGCCACTCTCTATTTGTATTTATAAAAAATGTACTATCATTACTTTGGATTGTTGTGCTGGTATAATGTGGGTTTAACGTCAATAAATATTACACAAATAGAAAGTTTTTCTTCTGGTAAAGACTATTAACTGTTTCTGTACAAGCATGCAAGGTTTAGCAGTTTAATTATTAGGAAATTAATGAAACAAGGTCTTTATGAAGCATCCACACTTGACTAGAATTTGCTTACCATACTGCTCTTCTTATCTCCCAACCTTTTCATTTTTATCTTTTTAAGAGGAACACGACTCACTGTTCTGTGACAATTTCTCATCATTTATGTGAAGATGCTTTTTTAGCCCAGATGTTAGGAACACACGCAGGTCTGTTTCATGTCTCTAGTAATTGCTGTGTGACTTCACTAATAACTGATTCTAAGAAGTAAAACAGTAAAAAGTAAAATTGATCCTAAGTCCAAGTGCTGATAAATTGGTGTAAGAACAGGCTTCTAAAAAGCACCAAAAACAATTGAAGAAAGCACTAAGATTTACTTGTAAAATCCTGACCATTTCCTAACTAAAACCTGACCTTCTTTCCTGTCTGTGCAAAAGTACTGAGAAAGCTGCAAGATAATCAATTTTTTTTTCTTTCAGGCTTACATTGATTACTACAGAGAGAATTATCATTGCAACTAAGTGAGTACTGACATTAATGGCAGTACTACAACTCTATGGAGTTCCATCTGCTTACAGTAAATTTGTCTTTGGCTATGAGACTGAAAAAAAGAGACAGACTGTTCATGTGAGTTAGTTAAGATGAGATCATCATCACTTTTTGTCTCTGCATATATGTACACACACACAAGTAGTAAATCACATCCCTAAGCAGCAAAGTTGTTCTTAAGAAAACATTGAACTGTGCTGTTCCTTAGTTACTGGGACTGTTTGCGTTTACAAAGTCAGAGATAGAAGTGTGGCACACAAAAAATGACATAGTGCTCAAGCCAAAAACTGACGTTCTTGGAAGCATCAAGATCGCCTTCAGCAATTTTATCTTCCTCCCCAGGCTCCAAAGATAGATACTATTATCTGAAAGTACACTTTCAACACTTTGTATGAGGGGTAGCAAGCTTATCAGCCAGGTGTGTTCAAAGCAATCCAAGACTCAATTCAACTGCACTTGAGGTGCTGACAGAAACCTGTCATACAATCATTAAGGTTGGAAAAGGTCTCTAAGATCACTGAGTCCAACCCCAGACCTTGCCCACCAGTGCCACATCTCCACAGTTCTTGAATACCTCTAAGGACAGCGACTCCACCACCTCCCTGGGCAGCTCATTGCAATGCCTCACCACTCCTTTTGAGAAGTAGTTTTTAATACCCAACCTGACCCTCCTCAGCACAACTTGAGGCCACCAGGAGTGATGTACAAAATTCCACATCCATGAAGTTGGATGTTTGTTTTTTTTTCCCCTCAGTCATAGAGCACCTTAACACAGCACAAAACTTATCCTGCCTCAATCCCCCACATATGGGGAGAGCTACATCCCCAGCTCTGCAAGCAGCCCAAAACAGCTTTAATACAAATGTCCTCCATGAGATTGTATGACTCATCATGTCACAATACTAAAGGGATCAACTGCATGCTCCAGCTGTGAGACCCAACTGCCAGGCACACACATTGTTGTATAGCTGGAGTAATGCACAGTTTGGAAATGCCTGCTCAAATGATGCATGTTGACAGCAGCCTCAAGTCTGCCTCACCATTCAGCTGCCAGCTTCAATCAAGATGTTCGTGCTGAGCACGAGATCTCCTTGAAGTTCAAGCTGGCAAAATCGTGAGAAAGATCAGATAAATCAATATGAAAACTAGAGATGGTGATGCAAAAAGTGACAAAAGATTATGGAAAATTTAAAGCAATACGTTAAGTAATGAGTTGACTTAAGACATCCAGTACAAAGGTGAAGGCAAATATAACCTTGTTAGAACTGATAGTCCAATATGTAAATACAGTGAAAACCAATCAAGTTTTTATGTCAACATTTTAATTGTATGATCTGCTAGACCAATATCAGATGCATTACAAGATGTCTTGGAAAGCTCTGGAAACCATGGAAGCCTGGAGTATTATTAGCACTCCCTGCAACTCAAGCAGCCAGCTTATGGAAGCAGGATGATGGAGGCTGAAGGAAAACGATCAATAAATGAAGGGAGAAAGGCTCCTTTGTCTTAACATTCTCAAGCCAGAAGAATGCACACACACACTTGCAGTCCAGGATTAATAAGCAGATGCAACCAATAAAAACTTAATCACCCAAAGATAAAAATGAGAACTAGGAAGAAAAGGTATTGAAAGGTATTGTAAATGAACAGGGTGCTTCCACTACCTACATCCTTACACGCCCCTCACTGTGAAAGGCACTGAAGTACCTGCTGAACTACTGCACACACTGCCCTGAGCACAGGGCCTGGGATGAAGGTCAGACAGAAGAGCCTCAGCACTGTGCTGCTCCCATCTATCAGACACAGATGGCCTCCTGCTGCACATATCTAAAGAGAAAAATCAGGTGTGGATGAGACACAAATTTTGAGGCCAAACCACGTTTGGTTTTTTTTTTTTGTCTTTTTTTCCAGTGTGACTTCTTTGGAGGAGACTTCAAATGAGCCCTGGTACAGAAACATGAGTGGGGTTCTTAAATTTCTGAGTCATTCATTTGTTTGGCTAAAATCCTGACACTTAGTTCTCTAAGAGATACTTCCTAAACTGTGTAATGCACGTGGTGGAAAATCATATTTTTAGCACAAGTAGAAATAAGATAATAGGAGCAAGCGTACGTACAGAGTAACATCAGTTAAGAGTTAACAGCCCCATGCCTGTTTGAAATAGATTTGTGCCCAAGGAGCAGCGAATGTAATTCTTCACCACGTGAAAAGCCTCTTCAGTACACACTGATCTAATACTAATTTAAGCAACACATCCCATCCCTTCAAAAATGCCTGCAATTGGGAGGCCTTGAGATCAGAAAAAAAAGCTCTCACTGACTTTTGTATCTCATTTTCAAGTGCCTCTGTCTTCTCATATTGTAAATAGAGAACTCAGGAGCCTCTCAGTTGTTGCTTTTAATTTGGGACCAGGCAGCATCCAATGACAGCAACTGCAATTTCCTGATTCGCAGCATGAAAAACAAACAAATAACAAAAACAGAAAAGGAAATTAAAATCCTTGACTACTCTTCCACCTTCTTTAATATCACATGAATTCTGACATCCTCCATGGTCCTCGTTTCAACCCAATCTTTCACTTGCTCAAAACTCCTCCAAAGCAGCTGCAACTGGTTTGTGGCTTTAAAAGGTAAAGCAGTTACCTATTATGATGCAAGGAAAACAAGAGCTCAAAAATATGCAGCAATGAGCAGAAAACAACTGGCTAGTTTTTTCAATTTCACAGCATCCTTAACTATCACAGCTGCAGTATCCTTAGAGATGTGCAGCCTGACATTAAGTTAGATCAAGTGAACAGGAACCAGCACCTAACTCCATTTCATCCTATGCTGCTGGGCTTTATTATTATTTTTTTTAATAGCTTTGGAAATAGAGACAGTTAAACAAATAGAGTTGGTAACACACAGTAGAGTTCATCTCCATAGTTAAGCAAAAGCAGTCCTTTGCAGTTTAAATTACCTCTGGCTCAAAGCATAGTCCACTCAAAACCAAATGTGGTAATAGACATTGTGACAATCTCATCAAAAATCTGGCTGATCCTTAGCTCTTTTAAGCATAAAAACAAATTATTCACTGCAGAGGACAAATACAACCTTGTAGGCAAAATAAACCTTGAGCAACAGCTCTTGTTAGAATACGCTGCATTCCTACTTTTGTGCTATCTGTGATTGCCCCACCAAAGAAGCTAAGGCCCTGAAAGGCTTCAGAAGATAGAACTCCAATAACCCACGTTGATACAGATTGTAGAAATTAGGAAGGAAAAACAGAAGAGTGAATCTGTTAAAAGCTTGTCAATGTTCTCACAAGCACGTTTTCAAAATCCATGCAATATTTAGTCATATTTTCCCACACTTTGTCACAGCACGAGCTTCAGGTAGAGAACCCCCTCTGTGAGTGTTAAAATCACCCAAAGACAGAATAGATGACACTACAGTTCCTGTATTTGGTGTTATTTTTAATTGCATAATACTTAGATGATACACAATGAAGTACCAGACTTCATTAATTTCACAAACCTGCCTTTCTCTAAAGCATTTTGTCTATACACTGAGAGAGCTATTAAGTCTCTTCAGCAGCTCAGAGTATTCACATGCTGAGGGGAGAGAAACAGACAAAGCATTCTGTAATGACTTATGCTCATTCTCTTAAATTGCAACCCAAGAAGATACAGGAGGAGGAGCGCCAGGAAAAGGAGGTTGTGAGCCTAACAAGCCTTTTAGAAAGAAGAAATGGAATGAAAATATATTAAATGTAAATGGAATTCCATTTTTAGCATGTGGTCACAGTGATGCATGACTTTTTCACACTGCATGAAAAATTGGAATGGCTGGAAATCAGCTGTGCTACCAAATGGAAAATCTCCGAAGCAAGCACGCTATTGCTCAGCTCAGCAGATTTACATGAGTAAGAAGACATCTTTTAGCAACTTGTGTTCACTTTCTCATCCTAGCAGTGCATATCCAATGTTTTAACTTGGGTGCCAAAATCACTCAAAGTAGAAAATGTAGGTCCAAAAAAAAAAAAAAAAAAAGCCAACAAAAAGAAATGGGAAGACTAAAATCAAACAAGGTGCTTAAGATCCAGAAATAACAGAATGCTCAGAGGTTTAATGTGTATTTGGGCATTTCCAATTAAAGAGGCATGATTTAAAGTGAACAAACAAATGAAAAAATACCAGTAAAGATAATGCATCTCCGTTGGAAAATAATCTAGATTTTGACCCTGAAGTACTCAGTCTGAAAATCTCCTGGGTACACATTGCTGTCATCTTTGTTCTAAATTGACTGGAATCAGTTTTACAGCAAGTTGTTGGGTTTTTTTGTTTTGGTTGCAGTTTAAGATATGCATAGTTCTTTATCAAATATTCAGTATTAAAATATCCTAATTCTACTTAATAAAAATTCATGTTCATAGTA